CCCCTCTCTGGTTGTGCACTTGATCTCAGCCAAAAGGCTGAGACATTGAACTCTTTGGCGTCCTGCCTCAGCCTCCCAGGTGCTAGGATTGCAGGCGTGCACCATCAGACCTGGCTCTGGCTCAGCCTTCTGGATTCCTAATGTTTTAGGCGTGGTGTCGCTTTGAGCACAGCACTTAGGGGAAGGTGCTTTTGCTCAGTGGCAAGTTGTTCAGAAAAGACCCACCCTGGGGACTGTGCTACGTCCCCCGGCCTCACACAGCCTCTTGGTGCAGCCACCGGGACAGTGGCAGTGTGTTGGGCAGCGTGGCAGGGGAGACTTTCTGGGTAGTTTGAACTCATGGGCAGCATGCGATTATCGATTGGGGGGTATTGGTTGCTTTGGTGGCAGAGGCGTGTCTGTGGACATTGTAACGCAGCAGCAGCTGTGGCTGTGTTTCCCTTACAACTTGGGAGGCTGAGGCAGGAGGGTTTCAAATTCGAGACTGGCCTGGGCCACCTGTGGAGATTTTGTCCCAAAGAACGAAAGTTTCCTTAACAGTTTCTCTTCTCAGTGATTGCCTGTGCGTCCCTGATTTCTATAACCAAGCTGGAATGGAACCCAAAAGAGAAGGTGACGCTGGGATTGTCCCACTGTCACTGTGCAGTCTGAGCCGGGCGGGTCCTGGGGGGTCCTTATCACAGAATTGGCCCCACTGCAGCTACCAGGGGCATGGGGACAAATCATGGGCATATGGACTTTTGTGGGCTCTGGATGGCTTGAGAGGTGGGGACAGGGACCAGGACGAGGACAGGCTGACACGGTTGACTTGAGGGCATCCTTTGTCTCAGGTAGACCAGGTGCACCTTTTCATGAATCTAGGGTACTTAGTCTCCTCGGTACACCCAGGCTGACAAAGACACTTCATTAGTGGAGCCCCCCACCCAAGTCTGCCAGGCCTGCGGTCAGCCTCGGTTAGCTGTTTCCTGGGCTGATTTCCAAAGTCTTAATCTGCAGAACCCCTCAGCCCTCCATGCTCAGTGAGAGGAAAAAAACCTCACACCTCCGAACCTGAAGCAGGGTCAGAGCCCCTCAGCTGCCCCGACTGGGCTGGAGCTTGACACCCTCCTGCCTCGGCTTCTCAGAACGCTGGGGGACAGGCATGCAATCACATCCTGAGACATTTGAGGCTTTATTTTGGGTAAACCAAGGAATTTCTTCCCATGAGAGTGGACCAGAAACCTCTAGCAGGGACCGAGGGCTTCCCAGATGGGCACATAGGTGGGTGACCCCAGAGGGAGCATAGGGTGACACCACAGCAGGAAGCCGTCAGGGCTCAGGGAGCCGTGTCCCCTGGCAGCAGCCTGGGCTGCAGAAAGGTGACTTCACTGACCATACTCAGCACAGGAAGGCTTGGGGACACTGGGAAGAGGGCAGCAGGGACCTCGAGTCCCTAAAGAAGCCTGGCGCCCAGCAGCAGCTGCCCTGCCTGGTGCAGGGTAAGTGCACACCTGTCGTCCCAGCACCGGGGAGGCTGAGGCTGGAGGGTTGCTGTGAGTTTCGGCCAGCCTGGTCTCCATTAGACGGAAAACCACGTGGACCATTAAAACGGCCCAGTCCGCCAGTGGGCAGACTGGGGGACGGGCTTTCCCGGCAGGGCTGCTTCTGAGCGCAAGGCTCCTCATACTCCCCGCATCCCGGGCTCCCTCCTGCTCAGCCCTGGACACTCTCACCTGACAAATCCAGCCGAGCTTGTGGGGCAGCGCCCTAGCTAGACTTGGGGGAGTTGGGGGAGCCTTGTCCGGGCAGGAACTCATGCGAACTGTGGGGAACAGAAGTGAAAGCCTCGACAGACAGGGCCGCTGGCCCGGCAGGCCTTCGCCCCCGGCGGTGGTGGGACCTCTGCCCTGTGGCCCTGGGGTTTCCCAGGCTCATTCTTTCAGGCAGGGCCGGGTTTCACTTTGTAACTCAGGCTGGCCTTGCATTCCCTGAGAGCCTCCTGCCTCAGCCTCCCCTGTGCTGGGATGACAGCCTGTGCCACCGTGTCAGGCGAAAGTTCGTTTCTGAGAGTCCAAACCTGCTGCGCAGTCCTATCTAGTCTGTGGTCCTTAGGCTGCTCTCTGAAGCCACCTGCATGCATCCCGAGAGCCGTTTGAGGGCCGCAGAGGGGCCCGGTCATCACCCAGTGTCCCTGCAGGGCCTGCTGGTCCGGTGGCCCCGTTCCCTGGGTCGTTCCCTGTTCCCTATGTGTGTGCCCAGTGACTTTTCCTCTGCTTGCTGATGTTGGTCGTTGCCAGCTCAGGCTGTGCCCTGGAGCCTTCACGTGTGCTGATTCCTATCTTTGTCACCACCAGGACTACATGTACCACCTGGTGAGTGCCGCCTGCGAGTGGACGGTGGCCTTCGGCTTCATCTTCTACTTCCTGACCTTCATCCGGGATTTCCAGGTGGGTACCACTGTGCCCAGCCTCGCAGACACTGGCAAGTACTGGCTCACAGCAGGAAAGGGTGCGGTCCTTCACCCCTGACATCTTTGAAAATGCATTGGTGCCCATGGCTTCGTTGTCTGTCGTGTCCCCAGGGGCAAGTCTGTCACGCACCCAGCGGGTGACTCTTTCTTATGTTCCTCCACCTTTGAGACCAAAAGCCACATGTTGGAAAATGTTCCCAAGGCCCTTACCCGCCTGGGTTGTCCAGACTTGCTGAGGTGCTCCTGCCTCAGCCTCCAGAGGGCTGGGGTCACAGGCGTGCATCGCCACACCCGGCAACCGGGGTTCTTAGAAACGGTGCTGTGAGCGTGTGTTTGCAGTGCTTAGTGATGGTGGCATTGGGACCTGCGCGTCAACGTGTCTCGGTCACTGTTGAACCCTGTCCCTTTCCTCACAGAATGTGACCCTGAGGATATCCACGGAGATCAGTGGTGACCTCTGAAGATGTCTCCTCCGCGCCGGGCGCCGAGAGGCCAGGTCGTGTCACCCCGAGTGGCTGTCGGTGCTCTGGGACAGCTTCACTGAGAGTTCTTCACAGTTGTACATTTATAAGGGGTCGCTCCCTGAGAGAATGTAGAATATTTGTGACATTGTAGTTACGTTTTTATACTTTTTCTAGCAGACACTTTCATATTAAGGTGTTACAGAACATGGAGAGCTTCTATTTTTGTACAAACCCTGGGTTTTTTTTCTGTGTGAATCATCTACAGAATGAGAACCGGAAGTTTAGTGCACTTTATAAAAAAGTAACACCAGGGGATTTAGTCATTTTATAATTTCACTTTCAGGGGTGAACTGTGTAATGTTCTCTTTTGAGACAGGGTCTCACTGTGTACCCAGGCTGGCCCCAAACTCATGGCGATCCTCCTGCCTCAGCCTCTGGAGTGCTGGGGTGACAGGTGCACGCCTCCACACTGAGCTGTATGATTTTTTTTTTTAATCACAAGAGCATTTACAGAAATCAATTTATAATGATCATAGACCTAAATCCTAAGATTTAGTTAATAAATGAACACTAAGAAATGCTGATTTCTAATTGCACTGAGCAAACTCTTCTGTGGCGAGGGCTCATACCACTCGCTGTGCACATTAACGCCAAGTACACGGCCTCGAACTCAGGGTGATCTTTGTGCCTCAGCCTCCCGAGTGCTGGAGTGACAGGCGTGCACCCCCGGGGGCTCTGAGGTGCCTCCTGACAGATTTGTGCCTTAGGTTCAGGGTGGGTGCAGACGCGTGGTCTTTGATGCCTGGACTGTGAACGGCTCCACGAGCCCCCCAAGCCCACGGCACAGTGGCCCTGTCTCGCCAGCAAAAGCCGGGGTCCCTGTGGGTGGTCCAGTGCCAGAGCTGGGCAAACTTAGCCATGGGGCGGTGCTGTTTTCTGTTTCTGTGAACGTGTGCTGCCTTGGTCCTCATGGCTGAGAAAATAAAATGAAATTCTCCTTTCTCTGTGTCTTTAAATTTATTTATTTAATGGATCTAGGATCTCGCACGCAGCTCGGACTCGTAGTGATCCTCCTGTCTCAGCCTCCCCAGTGCTGGGATTACCTGTGGCCCCAGCACGGGGCCAGCACGGCGTGTAGTACCAGGGATCCAACCCGGTTCCTGCGCTCGCCAGGCAGGCACTTAGCCGCCGAGCTATCTCACTGGCCCGCCTTTCTCTGTGGTCATCTGTGCCTCCTCCCCATCTCCAAGCACGTTCATTCAGGAGGGGACAGGGCCTCTGACATCCTACAGGGTGTGGTTTGAGCAGGGATTTTCTCATCTGTCCCGGAGTGCAGGCCAGCTGGGTCATCTTTGCAAAATCCTCAGCCTCAGAAGCTTAGTGTCACCTGAGGCTTGGATGCAGCTGGTGTGGCGGCCCACACCTGCTGTCCCAGCTCTCAGGAGGCTGAGGCAGGAGGATTCCTCCTGTGAGTTCAAGGTCAGCTTGGGCTACACAAGGAGACCTCGCCTTAAAAAAAATTGGAAAAACCTAAAAGAGGAATGGTACTGTACAACGTGTAATGCTTCCTTTCGTCTGCTGTCGCTCCTGTTTTTATAAGAAGACTAGGAAAATGCCCACTCCCAAGGGTTTTCCTTTCAACTTTGGCCCCAAATGTGTAGTGGATTAGATTGTGCAGTCGGTTTAGGGCTTCTGCCTTTTGGCTTGGCAGTGTGTCCAGGACAGAGTTCCCCCTCTTCCCCCTCTGGACAGATTGTCCTTGCTTCATTTGTTTCTTGTTTTACACCCGCCCCACCATCCCTGGCAGCCTGCAGCAGCAGTTCTTTAAAAAGTCCCTGATGGAGGGAGAAATTCTCCTGCATTGCATGCTGGGACAACTGGTAGATGCTGTCCTTATAAACCCTGCCTTGTTTCTTCATTTGCTTGCTTCTTCGTTTTTTTGTTTTGAGACAGGTCTCACTACGTTTCCTAGGCTGGCCTCAGACTCCTGGGCTCAGGCGATGCCCCTGCCGCAGCCTCCCGAGTAGCCGGAGCACAGGTCGGCTCCGCCGCTCCTGGCGTATGGCCATGTTTGTTTTGACCCAGGGCTTCCCTTTGTAGTTCAGGCTGTCCTAGAACTGCTGGTGATCCTCCTGCCTTAGCCTCCTGAGTGCTGGGATGACAGGCACCGCCCTGGCAAGATTGGGCTGATGGTTGTGCTGCTGAACACCATTGCGATATGACTGCCGGAGACACCAGGGAAGGAGAGGGGAAGAGCTGGGTTGGCGAGCCATCACTGTGCCCGGCTCTTGGTGGCTGTGTGCCTTGGCCCCTGGCCCTCCCCGTGTTCTCCGCTGTCTCCTTCCTGCCCCACACCTCTGTGTGGGTACACATGTGCGCTGCTGCTCTGCGGGGGAGAGGGCCAAGGAGGCGGCCCAGTGGCACAGCGACTGCCTAGCAAGCGCAAGTCCTGAGTTCAAGTCCTGGTGCCAGGAAAAAAAAAAAAAAAAAGGGTATCTTAGTCACACTGCTGTCATTGCTGGGACAAATACCCGACACCCAAGCTTGGGGAAGGAAAGGTTTATTTAGCTTACAGTTACTGGAGATTTCAAGACCCTGGAGGAGAGGCTGGGGCGCTGCCGCGTCCAGAATGACCCTCTTCACACCTCTGAGACAGCACAGGCTAGCCGGTTTGACGGTTCACGCCTCTTGGCCCCGCCCCAGCCCCTGGCCCCGCCCACTCTGGGCCTCTGGCCCCGCCCCGCCCTGATCCTCTGGCCCCGCCCCTCTGGCCACCGGTTGCTCTTCCAGCCGCATCTGCCCCATAACTTACATGACGCTTTGGTGGGGACAGCTAGACACAAACGATAACAAGGGGGAGGGGAGAGGAGCTGCTTATTTCAAGATTAAAACAAAAGTATTTCAGAGTCTCTGGGGACAAGCAAAGGTCGAGTCTGGCGCAGGGGTGGAGCGGAGCTCTAGCTCGGATGTAGGTGGGAAGTTCCCGCTCGGACTTCGCCTTGGGTTTTGTAACCACAGATGCAAAAAAATAAGTCTGAACAAAACCTCCAAGGTCAGGACAGCAAAGCCCTACAATCCGTCCGGCGGCTGTGTAGCAAAGGCACGCGTTTACTCAAGTGTCTCTGGCTGACCTTGTCCCTTACCGCTGCCGAGTTAGGGTTTGCGAGCCGGCGGCCGAGGCGCAGGCCTGTCATCCCAGCCCTCGGGAGGCTGAGGCAGGAGACTGCCGGGAGTTAAGGCCAGCCTGGGCTATGTACCGAGCCCCTGTCACATCGGTGGCTGCCAGGACGGTCACAGCGGGCGGGGACATGGAGGGGAGGACAGGGATGGAGACAAAAGCCAGAGCCCGCTGCACTGTTGGCGCCCCACACCCACCGGCTGTGGTCTGAAGAGCTGCCCCACGGTTTTGGAGTGTAATACTTTGCTGCAGGACCTGTGGGACCGAGGGGTCCCCTGAGGGAGGGGACCTCGTGCAGTGGCCCCTTCCACCAGTGTCTGAACTTCAGCAATTTACTTCGTTTTTGTTTTTGTTTTGTTTTTTTCCTGTACCAGGGATTGCGTCCAGAGCCTCAACACTGAGCTATGACCTCCGCCTTTTTATATTTTTAAAAAAATTTGAGAAAGGGTCTCATTAAGTCACCGAATGACCCAAGCCGGTCGTGAATTCGCAGCCCTCCTGCATCAGCCTCCCAGAATCCTGGGCTTCCAGGTGGCTTACTTCGTTCTTTACAGCGACTCTTCAATTGGATTGATGTTACGGCTTGCTTATAAAATTGTCCCTGAGAACATGGGTGCAGCTTGAGACCATAAAGTTAAGTGAAACAAATCAGCCACGTCGGCTTCACACTCGCACACGGTCTCGTGCGAGAAACCCCAGGCGTAAACAAATGAGGCCGCAAAATAAAAGCGCTAAGAGGGTCCTGAGAGGCGGGTCTTCTGCGAAAGGGCCAGGAGAGATTTCTTAGGGCTCTCTGCAGTTTAGGGCTCCAGGTCCAGCAGTTTGCAGGAGTGGACAGCAGGGGGCGCTGAGGGACCGTGGAAAGGGAACCGAAGCTGCAGTCCCAGGGCCTGGAGCCGCGCCCTTCTGGCCAGTGGAAAGCTACTGGGACCAACGCCTTTGACTTAAGTTTCTATTTCCTCCGGAGACAAAAACCCGGATGGAACCAGATTGGAGTGCATCTTCTGCTCTTTTCCTTTAGGGACAGAAAAGTCACACAAAGGCTGGCTTCTTTCGTTTGCACATGAGTTCTGGGAAAGTTCTTACTGAGCCTGGGGGTGGGGAGTAGGACAGCCCTCTTCATTTCTCTGCTTTGAAGGAAGAAAAGTACCCTACGCACACCTGCCATTCCAGCCTTTGGGAGGCTGAGGCAGGAGGATCGCTGGGAGTTCATGGTCAACCTGGGCCATTTAGTGAGTTCAAGGCTGGCCTGAACTACACAGTAAAAAAGAAAGCTTAACTAAAAGAAACTAAACTTTAAACTTTTTCTTCAAAAACTGTAAATCAGCCAGGGCTGGTGGTGCAAATACTCTGGGAGGCTGAGGCAGGAGGGTCGCCACCTGAAGCTCAGCCCAGATTGGCCTTGTCTCCCAATGAGGGAGGGGCTGTGGCTCCGGATGGGGGAGCACAGCGCACAGAAACCGGCAGGGCACAGAAGTGTCCACCCGAGAGCCTGTGCGCATGGCCTTGGGCCCGCCAGGGGCTTCTCAGAGTCCCCACGGAGCCTCTGCTCACAGGCTGGGCTCCAGGTCCTCAGCAGCTGTGAGGCAGCGGGGCAGGCGGATGGCGGGGCCCCGAGCCGCGGGCCGCCTGGTGGGGTCTGCCTGGCTCTCCTGGCTCTGCGGGGCGCGAGGGCTTAGTGCGATGATCTGTGGCCCGCAGGGAGCCTCTTCCTCCTCCTGCCCAGCTGCCTCTACGGCGGCGGCAAGCTCGCGTTTCCAGGCGACACTCCTAGGAGGAGAAGGGTGTCATATTATGAGTGTTGTCACCCGACTTCCCTCCTCACCTGCCTTCTCCCTGCCCCGCCCCCCGCGCGCTCCCGTCTGCGCAGCCCCCACTGCCGCTGTCGCCTCCGGTGCGCCTGGACGTCTCACCCTGCGGGCACCGCGCATCCCTGTGGCACACCTGGCGGGTACCATCTGGCTCCTCCCGCAGCCTGAGTCCCGGCTAGAACCGCAACACACGTGCCTCGCTGGGTTAGGAAGTGGATTCTAACAAAGCGGTTCGGGCCGCTGGCACACCCGGCAAAGGTACCAAGAGTGGGGCGCTCGGGCCCTGGAGGTGTCGCAGGGCCCTGGCAGATTGGATTTGCAGGAAACACGTCTTCGGGCCAACCTCGCTGCTGTCAGGCGCCAAGCCCGGCACTGCCTGGCACAAGCTGCCAGCAGCGCGGGTACCAAAGTGGTCACAGGGCCACGCTCGGTGTAGAAAGAGGATCAG